AGTATTAAACAGCAACTCTTTGGTGCCATTTGTGAGTTTAATGTGAAAAATCAAACCTCAGAATACAAAAGGGCTACTAATTTAGAGTTACACATTAATTACATGCATACAGACAGTATATGAATAATGACAGGGACCTTTACCTCATGTGGCTCACCCTCCTCAATAACTGTCTCCTCAATGTAGTACTATTAAAAAAAGAGGAAAAAAAGGCCATTATTAGGTCAGATCAGCAAATTGTAGCTCTGTGAAGCTGTTTGAAAACCACACTGCTGCAGGAACAGGGGCTGCAGCTCACAGGTGCCGATGGGGTCACTTGGCAATTCTGAATATCCCCTCATTTTTCGCGTTAATGATTGGGTGTTTTCCACACGTTCCTCAACTAATCCTCGCCCAAGCAATTAATGAAGGGTCGTTATCTAATTTTACCCCCCCTAGAGGGAAGGCAATGATGACCACACTGAAAGAATCAGCATTTAAACCCCAGGACTTTCCAAGTGTTTGGTGACGCTCTGAGGGGGCTGTAGGAGGTTTCTCAAAGCCTGTCCTCAGAGTTGGTCCTGCCTACAGATCTTTGAAGGGCTCCAATAATTACTGGCTGCCAGTTCAGCTTTGTCCTGCCAATCACAACTCTGACCCTGCTAATTTTCCACCCACTTCATTGTGCTCTCTCCACCCCACACCTCATAAACTTGGTGATACGAAGAGCAATCAAGACCCACAACCTTCACTGCCCTCCCCCTGCCCACAGCAGCTGTGAACTCATTAGAAACACCGATGAGATGGGTCAGCCCAGGTCTGCCCTTGATAACTCAATGTTTACAGCTCCTCACGACCTTCATGTCTTTCGTGTGTTTAGAAATAGCTTCTCAAACGATTTGCCCCACGGCCTTCCCAAAGAACGGAGCGAGGCTGACCAGCCTGTGGTTCCCTGGATTTTCCTCCTTGCCTTTCTGAACGTCAAATCCAGCTGAACTTGAAGGAATGGTTTTTGTAATGTTTTTTATGTTCCTCCCAAGTGTCCTGATCCTGCTTCCACCCTCAGTATATTTAATTTTTTTGTGATTTTGCTCCGTCAGGAGCTCCGTGTTCCTCCACACCAGCCTCCTGCTGTGTTTGACTTCTGCACTTTGGATTCAACCGTGTGCTCTGAGAAAATCATCCTAGAAGATCACCCAACTCCCCTGGGACCCACAGGATCCTCCCTGAACAGCCCCAGATCTGTCCTCCCGGAGTCTGGGATTGTAATTCTGTTTATGTTCCTCACTGCGCTCTGAACCTTCAGCTCCGCAGTCCTGTGGTCACAGCAGCCATGGCTGCCCTTGACCTTGGCATCTTCCACCACTCCTTGCTCGTTTGCGAGCAGCAGGTTCCCCAGAACATCTCTCCTGGCTGGGACAATGGAATTGGGAAGGGGCTGGAGCAGCAGGAGGGGCTGAGGGAGCTGGGGGGGCTCAGCCTGGAGAAAAGGAGGCTCAGGGGGGACCTTCTGGCTCTGCAATCCCTGACAGGAGGGGGGAGCAAGATGGAGGGTGGCTCTTCTCCCAGAGAACAATCGACAGCACGATAGCAAACAGCCTCTAGTTGTCCCAGGGGACGTTTGGATTGGATTTTGGGAAACATTTATTCACTGGAAGAGGGGTTAAGCATCGAACGGGCTGCCCAGGCAGGCGGTGGAGTCACCATGCCTGCAAACGTTCGAAGAACGAGTAGACGTGGTACTTTACGGTTTGGTGGGCATGAGGGGTGGACTTGACGACCTCGGAGGTGTTTCCCAGCGTCAATAACTCCGCGATTCTCCATCCTCAGGCTCGCCCTCCATCACCAACTGAAGGGAGCCCCGACCCGCCATGCCCAGCCGCGGCCACACGGTGGCGCTGTCGGGTGGCAAATGGCGGCCGCGCTGAGGGGGCCGCGCTGCGCTCGAGCCCTCGCTCTGCCGCCTCATCATCTCCCCTCGTTCTGCCGCCTCATCATCTCCCCTCGCTCTGCCGCCTCATCATCTCCCCTCGCTCTGCCCCATCATCATCTCCCCTCG